CTCCATGGACTTGAGTATCATTTTTCTTTTCTTTCTTTTTATTATTATTTTATTCTCATTTTCAGAGCACCGGGAAAGATTGAAAATTACGATCAACAAAACTGACTTTTTGCGTGCTCTTCGTCACGCTTTGTTAGACTTCGATTTATACGAGATGTTGAATCTAGAAACTTTATATTAGACTTTTATCTTTTCGTTAATAGTCTTATTTCGTAGGGCAAACACGAAAAACTCGAGTATGTATGCTAGATTTACATATCGTCGAGTGGAAGAATTTTATCTATCGTGATACTTACAGACGCAAGCAATCACGTTGATCACGTTACTGCAAATATTAGGAGCACCCGTGAGTAATGTCTCGCTTTTTCATATAGAACATTTCATTTCATTTGAGAGTTGATAATCAGTTTTAATCGATAATATAATTCAACAATAAGCACACTGAATACATTCAATTAAAAATATATGTTGTAGTAAGTTAAATTATTGTCACTAGATGGCAATGTTTATTAAGTGTGAAAAGAACGACATTACTCATGAGTACTCCGTAAAATCATAAAATCACAAATCGTGTGATCTAATTCACCACAAGCATCATTCGTCGAAGCTAGAGAGCAATGTTTCTATAAAATATTTGTATCCGGCGAGTTTAGCGACTTCAACGACGAAGCGGCAGCTTCGAATATCGAAAACCATCGTTTGAACATAATTTTTTATGTACATACGTGTTTGTGGTTGTCGTGTCGTAATAAAGAAATTATTTTGTATATCGTAATTTACTATTTCGCAAACCCTGCCTTCGCCAACTTCGTGTGAACGTGTGAATATACAGTCGAAGAGTTACTGGCACACTTAGTTTCTCGACAAAATCTGTTTATATAAATAGTTCACTATACACATATACGAATGTATAGTAACGAATGAAATTTCCAAACAATAAATTCTTTTATGTACAATAATACAAGAGATAGAAAAACTCAAGACACAGAAAGGCATTGTGTCGTGTGAGGACATTTTTTGCAGTTCTGACTTTTATCATTTTTGCATAACTTATTATTTGAAATTATTAAAAAATATTTTATGCAACTACAAAGAAAAAAACCCTCACGTGTTCACTTTATTGATCCTTTTGACTTTTATATTACTTGTTTATTATTTTTCTATAACACATTATTAGAAACTATTAATATTCTATACTCTGTTTAGATACAAACCTCCCCCTCTCCATGTGTCAATATTAATCTTAATTTCAATTGCAATTTTATATTGTACTATTTTGTATAATTCGTCATTACAAATCATTAAAATTATTTTACATTCTGTTTAAATATATGATAGAGTTGCAGAAAGTCTCTCATATGTCAATCCTTTTTGATTCTCAAACTTTGTATTATTATTTTTATATTACATCATTTCTATGTAGCTGAGAAACACTTTAGGAATCATTAAAAATATTTTATATTCTGTCTAGATGCATGGTACAACTACAAAGAAAAAACCTCTCATGTGTTCACCTTATTGATCCTTTTGATTTTTATATTACTTGTTTATTAAGAATATTCTATACTTTGTTTAGATACAAACCTCCCCCTCTTCATATGTCAATATTAATCTTAATTTCGCAATTTTATATTGTAATATTTTGTATAATTCGTCATTACAAATCATTAAAATTATTTTACATTCTGTTTAAATATATGATAGAGTTGGTCAATCCTTTTTGATTCTCAAACTTTGTATTATTATTTTTATATTACATCATTTCTGTGTAGCTGAGAAACACTTTAGGAATCATTAAAAATATTTTACATTCTGTTTGAATAGTAAAAAAAATAGAATGTTATTTTGTACAACTCGTTATTGGAAACCATCAAGAATATTTTATACTTTATTTAAAAACGTGATAGAACAGCAAAAAGCAATCCTTTAAACGTTAACACCTTTTTATATTGTATTACTACAGTATAATTCATTATTGAGTTTTTCTTATTCCAATTTATGGAAACAGATTCTGCTAGCAACATCATTTGATGATGATTGAGATATCGCCAAGAAGCTAAATTCTTCTAACTCACTGTACGTAT